AGATTTTTGTCTAGTATTATGACTATGGGTTCTGTTGCAACTACAAAGGAAGTGCTTCAGGTCAGGATTAATATTAGTATTTATTGTTCTGTATATGTAGCATGCACGGTAGTAAGAGTGAATGTTTTACACAGTAAGTAGGTTAAAGTCTTTGAAGAGTGGGGAGGGGTGTTTTTTCTGGCAGTAGATTGTGTGATCATTTGTACTGCAGCCTTCTGTTGAGTTACAATTGGCTTGAGGTGGTTTGCTGTTGTAGATCCCCAGGCACAAATAGCATAGGTTAGGCAGGGATAGATTAGTGTGTAGTATACTGTAAGTAGTGCTGCTTGTGGTACACAATAATATATCTTTGAGAAAATGCCAATTGTTTTGGACATACAGTGGACCCTTGCCTAACAAACGCATCGCATAACATTAAATCCGCCTAGCGATACATTTTAATGCAAAAATTTTGCCTCGGCGGCTAGCGCTAAAAAACTCACTCAACACGATTCATTCGAGACGCGTCCACGTGCGGCCTGAGCCCGCCTCGCTTGTTCCATGGGTGCCAGTGTTTACAAGCCAGCCACTGTGGTCGCTTCCAAGCATACAATCAGAACATTTCATATTATCATAGCCTTTTTAGTGATTGCACCTGCAAAATAAGTCACCGTGGGCCCCAAGAAAGCTTTTAGTACCAACCCTACAGCAAAAAGGGTGATATGAAGAAAGAGATCATTGCTAAGTATGAAAGTGGAGTGCGTGTCTCCGAGCTGGCCAGGTTGTACACAAAACCCCAGTCAACCATCGCTACTATTGTGGCCAAGAAAACGGCAATCAGGGAATCTGTTCTTTCCAAAGGTGCAACTTTGTTTTCAAAACAGAGATCGCAAGTGATAGAAGATGTTGAGAGACTGTTATTGGTGTGGATAAACGAAAAACAGATAGCAGTAGATAGCATCTCTCAAGCGATCATATGTGAAAATGCTAGGAAGTTGCATGACGATTTAATTAGAAAAATGCCTGCAACTAGTGGTGATGTGAGTGAATTTAAAGCCAGCAAAGGTTGGTTTGAGAGATTTAAGAATCGTAGTGGCATACATAGTGTGATAAGGCATGGTGAGGCTGCCAGTTCGGACCACAAAGCGACTGAAAAATATGTGCAGGAATTCAAGGAGAACATAGACAGTGAAGGACTGAAACCTGAATAAGTGTTTAATTGTGATGAAACAGGCCTGTTTTGGAAGAAAATGCCAAGCAGGACCTACATTACTCAGGAGGAAAAGGCACTCCCAGGACATAAGCCTATGAAAGACAGGCTTACTCTGTTGATGTGTGCTAATGCTAGTGGTGATTGCAAAGTGAAGCCTTTATTGGTGTATCACTCTGAAACTCCCAGAGTGTTCAGGAAAAACAATGTCCTCAAGGCTAATTTGTGTGTGCTGTGGAGGTGAAACGGTAAGGCATGGGTCACTAGGGACTTTTTCTATGACTGATTACACCATGCATTTGCCCCCACTGTGAAAAATCACCTAATTTTAAAGAAATTAGACCTTAAGTGCCTCCTGGTATTAGACGATGCTCCTGGTCATCCTTCAGATGTGGCAGTGACTTTCTGCAGATGTGAGCTTCATTAAGGTCAAGTTTTTGCCTCCTAATACCACTCCTCTCCTGCAGCCCATGGACCAGCAGGTCATTTCCAACTTCAAGAAACTGTACACAAAAGCTATATTTGAAAGGTGCTTTGTAGTGACCTCAGAAACTCAATTGACTAAGAGAGTTTTGGAGAGATCACTTTAGCATCCTCAATTGTGTAAACATTATAGGTAAGGCTTGAGAGGAAGTGACTAAGAGGACCTTGAACTCTGCTTGGAAGAAACTGTGGCCAGAATGTGTAGACAAAAGGGATTTTGAAGGGTTTGAGGCTAACCCTTTGAATCCTATGCCAGTTGAGGAATCCATTGTGGCATTGGGGAAGTCCTTGGGGTTGGAGGTTAGTGGGGAGGATGTGGAAGAGTTGGTGGAGGAGGACAATGAAGAACTAACCACTGATGAGCTGCTAGATCATCTTCAACAGCAAGAGGCCACACCTAAGGAAACTGCTTCAGAGGAGGGGATAGAGAAATTGAAGAAGTTGCCAACTTCAAAGATTAAGGAAATGTGTGCAATGTGGCTTAAAGTGCAAACCTTTTTTGATGAAAATCACCCTCACACAGCTATTGCAAGCCGTGCTGGTGACTATTACACTAACAATGTTGTGAAACACTTTAGGAATGTCATAAAGGAATGGGAGGTACAGGCCTCTATGGACAGACATGTTGTGCGACAGAGGTCCAGTGACTCTCAAGCTGGTCCTAGTGGCATTAAAAGAAGAAGGGAAGTAACCCCGGAAAAGGGCTTGCTACCTCAAGTCCTAATGGAAGGGGATTCCCCCTCTAAATATTAACACCATCCACAGTCTCCCCTCCTCCCATCCCATCAATCATCACCAGATCTTCAATAAAGGTAAGTGTCATGTAACTATGCATGTCTTCTTCAGTTTGTGTGTATTAAAATTAATATTTCACGTGGCAAAAATGTTTTTTTGTTCATACTTTGGGGTGTCAGGAACGGATGAATTTGATTTCCATTATTTCTTATGGGGAAAATTAATTCGGCTAACGATAATTTCGACTAAAGTTGAGCTCTCAGGAACGGATTAATAGCGTTAGGCGAGGGTCCGCTATATTTGTTTTTTGTAATGTGTTGGATATGGGTGTTGACTTTCAAGTTGCTGTCAAGGATCAGACCCAGAACTTTTCCTTCATTATGTTTAGCGATAGGAGTATTGCTAGTCATAACGTTTAGTTGAACATTACTTGCTCTGCTCCCAAATGTAGTGTAGAAGTTTTTATCAATATTAAGTGTAAGTTTATTGGTAGTCATCCAGGTTGATATTTTTAAGAGCTCTTCATTAACATTGTTGTTGAGGGATGCTAGATTTGGGTGGGAGATGACAAAAGTTGTCTTGTCGACAAAGAGAACAGGTCTAAGTTGTTGTGATACATTTGTAAGATTGTTGATGTATAAGAGGAAAAGCAGAGGGCCAAGGCCACTTCCATATGGAACACCAATGTCCACAGATTTTGTTGAAGAGGCTGTACCCTTGATAGAGATGAATTGGTGTGTATTGGTTAGGTAAGACTTGATACATATGCAAATGCATCACCTCTTATACTGTAATGATCAAGTCTGAGGTGTAGGATGCTGTGATTTACTGTATCAGTATCTTTCCTAAGGTCAGTAAAGAGGCCTAGTGGATATTCACTATTTTCAAGAGCTGTGTAAAGTAAATCTAGCATTTTATGATTGTGCCATCTGTGCTTTCTTTTTTCTTTTTTTTTTCCTGAAACCAAACTGGCAGGGATTGAGAATACTTTGTAATGTTATAAAGGAGTATAATCTCCCATGTATTAGTTCTTCAAAAATTTTGGATAGCAATGGTAAGTTAGATAATGGCCTATAATTGTTTACATTTGTTGGGTCTCCACCTTTGTGTACTGGAGTAACTCTTGCCATCTTGAGTAATATTGGGAAAATGCTTGTTTCTAGTGATATATTAAAAAGTAATGTAAAGGTGGGTGAGACGACATGATCTTCTCATTTGAGCAGTAGTGGCAGAACTTGAGCTAAATTTTCTGATGTGTTTTTTAGTGAAATAATAATCAGGGAGACTTCAGTGGGCTCAGCTGGAACAAGATAGAGGGATGTTACGAAGTTTCCATCTAATTAATCACTGTCTTAGGTATTAGTACTTTGAATTTTGTTAGTGAGACTTGATCCTATGGTAGAGAAAAAATTATTTACCTTATTGGCTGTTTCAATAGGCCGGAGTTGCAGTTTGTTGGGTTTAGTTAGGACAATATCTCTAATTTTGGTCAGCTTTGAGTACCCAGGGTCTGAGTGTGTTTTCCAGGTCCTTTTCATATCTCCTCTTGTTTCAGTGAATCTGTTAAAATAATACAGTTGTTTGGACTTCATTATTAGTTTGGTGAGGACTGATGTATAGTTTTTACTAGTTCTTTAGTTATTAAGCCCTGTCTATACTGTTTTTCATAATGTTTCTTATTTATGGATCAAGGGATGCTCTTTGTAAGCCACAGGCAACCTAGTCTCAGATCAGTAGTGTTGTCTGTGATTATCCCTGCTTTGAGGGGATCTAATACATTTGTCTATATATGGTCAATTATGGTTGCACTATTCTCAGTTAACCTTGTTGGTTTTGTTATAGCTGGTATGAGTAATGAATTGTTCATACTATTAATGAAGTCAGTTACTGGTTGGTCTTCTTCTAGACCAAGGTTGAGGGAGAGGTTAAGATGTGCACCATGTAAGTTGTTGTTGTTGATGTTTAGCCTACAGGGGTGGGGATGAGGGTGGACGATTTGCCAGTGTCCTCCATGGTAGTCATAATGGGGAATAGTTTCCTTGGTGTTCTGGTGTTATTCTTGTAGGTGTTGGTACTGAGATTCTCTTTCATGGGAACACTGGTGCAGTTGGTGAGAGTTAAGGAGAGCTTTGTGGTGCACAAAGCTTGGGTTGGTTGTTCGTCTGGTAGCAGGGCTGAATTTGGGTATACAGGGCAGTCTTCCTTTGGTCGTCGATTTTGTCGGGTTGTAGATGTGTCGTTTTTTTTAGGTCATGCTGGGTCTGCATATGTTAGTGCAGTAGTACTTGCAATTAGGCCATCTCAGGAGCTTAGACTGGCCCAGGGGACTAAAATTTTAGGAGCTTCATTGATGCTGCCACATTAGAAACTTTTCATGTTAAAAACAATGGAAATAAGGTACAATTGGACTTTCAAGGTGAGCATAAATGGTCAGTGCAATCATGGCAAGGAGAAACAACAGTTTTTAACCCTTTAACTGTGGAAGACCCTGGAAAAAATTTCCTGTGTGGGAAGATTTTGAAAAATAAAAAAAAAAATTCTTACAGATCGACAGTTTGTTTTTCTGAATTGAATAAGATTAAAACAAGCAAACTCTGATAATTACTTAAGATTTTATAGTATGTTGAAGTTTGTGAACAAATGATCACTAATCAGCAACAATGGCATTAAAGCACCAGCGATGCTGACATTTTACAATTATTCACGCTAATATATAATTGTTTTTCTTTTTTTTTTAACTGCTTTTAATGTTTAACATTATATATACTCATTTTTTTTATAATATTATATGTGTTTCAAGGTGTTTTAGCACTTCCAACATTGCTTCATTTGGAATAATTGGTATCTATAATGTGTGACTGGTTTTTCTTTTTATTTATTTTACTATTTTGGTCTTCTAGGGCTATGTACAAGGAATACTTTTAACATTACAACTGTTTCAAAATGTAATACTCCTCAAAACATGGAAATAAGTAATATTGATTGACTTTACTGGGTTATGTATATACTTTATAACTGTTATTTTATGAATTTTTTTCTACTATTTCGGTCTTCTAAGGCTATGTATAATTAATACTTAAAATATTTACACTCATTTTAGAGTATAATATTCATCAAAACATGGAAATTATTTACAGTGGACCCTCGCCTAACGATATTAATTGGTACCCAAGAACGAATATCATTAGGCGAGTTTTTTAGCGTTAGCCGAGGCAAAATGTTAGTGTTAAAATGTATCGTTAGGCGAATTTAATGTTATACGATGCATTCGTTAGGCGAGGGTCCACTGTACATTGTTTGACTTTAATGGGTTATCCTGGGTTACTATTCTAGTGTGTTTTGTGGCTGAATTCCACTGATAGTATCAGGAAACTAACAAATTTGGACCGAAGCTGGTGGTAGAACAACATCTCCTGGTTCTTCTGTTTACTCTTGAGCTAGTGAGGCGTACTAGTGCGTCAGACATGCAGTCATCACCTGAGTAGTTAACCATGATACATTGTGTGGTCCCTGCTGGCCTTAGATATGAATAGATGGAAGAAAACCCAAAGACTTGCCCTGAGGTAAAAAATATTGGCAGGTGGCAGATTTGTGGGTACAAAAAATGGTGCGTACTAGTATGGTGGACACAGTACCAACACCTGCAAATTAGTATGTCAGACACAATAGTCACATCTGTGTACTAGTACATCGGACACAGTACCAACATCTGCATACTAGTGCGTCGGACACAGTACCAACATCTGTGTACAAGTATGTCAGACACAGTACTAACATCTGTGTACTAGTACATCGGACACAGTACCAACATCTGCGTACTAGTGCATCGGACACAGTACCAACATCTGTGTACCAGTATGTCAGACACGGTACCAACATCTGCATGCTAGTACAGTGGAACCCCAGTTCTCAAACTTATTCTGTTCCAGAAGATCGTTCTAAAACTGAAACATGCGAAAACTGAATCAATATTTCCCATAAGAAATAATGTAAATGCAATTAATCCATTCCAAACACACAAAAATATTTACAAAAAATTAATTTTTTAAAGAATATGACACTAATATCAATTCTATGGCTTATTTGTCTATCATAATTGATCTAATGTGACATAAACAATATAAATAACACAGAAACCTGAATGAATTAAATATGTCATTACGTATGAGGCTAATGGTGGCAGAGGCAGAGAGTGTTTGGAGGCAGGACAAAATACTCCTACAATATGACACTATCAACTCTACGGCTTATTTATCTATCACAACTGATCTAATATGACATAATAACATAGAAACCAGCCAGGCCCCGTGGCCTGGTTGACAAAGCTCTCGCTTCACACACAAAGGGCCCAAGTTCGATTCCCGGCGGGGTAGAAACATTTTGATGAGTTTCCTTACACACATTGTCCTGTTCACCTAGCAGCAAGTAGGTGCTTGGGCGTTAGTCGAATGGTGTGGGTCGCATCCTGGGGGACAAGATTGAGGACCCCAATGGAAATAATAAGACACACAGTCCTTGATTACGCACTGCCTTTTTTTGGGTTATCCTAGATGGCTAACCCTTCGAGGTTAAAAATCCAAACACAATCTTATCTTAATAAAATATGTCATTACGTATGTGGAGTGGTGGTGGTGGTGGTGGTGGTGGTGGTGGTGGTGGTGTTGGGTTTACAAGGGCCACTGAGAGCATAAGCTGTATAGTAGTGGTGGTGGCGGTGTTCTCAGTGGCCCTACATATCTCAAACAACAATGGAGGAGTTAAGTTTCGTGTCATCATTTTTCTATCGCTGAATCATTAACTTACTTACTACACTGTTAATGCTACACTTCATTGCTGCCTGGCACTATAGCCTTTACTGACTCCTGCTACTTTAGTATTGTACATATTGTAGAATCACTGAAGAAGGCACATTCTCCCCTCTCTCTCAGCCCTTTACCAAAGGGCTGGCACTAGGAACTTTTTTGGGCCCATGGTGGCTTATTTTACAGTCACAATCAATAAACAAGCACAAGAATTATAAAATGTTTCAGATGAATGCTCATTCAACCAGTGACAGAGCCAGACTGAAGTGGCATCAGATACATGCGATTTCTGGAGGAAAATTTCACACAAAAACTGGTTCTAAAAGCGAATCGTCCAATAACTGGGGAGTGCGAAAACTGGGGTTCCACTGTAAGTCGGACACAGTACCAACATCTGCATACTAGTACATTGGACAAAGTACCAACACCCGTAAATTAGTACATTGGACACAGTACCTGCACCTGCATACTAGTATGTCAGACAGTTAAATGGTTAAACGAGTTCAAGACACTGCTGTAAAACATTTCAAACACTTGTAATCTTGCAAGATCCATTATTAAACAAACCTGCCTCGTAACTGCCTGTAGTTAATTAAAATCTCTGATGTAAAATGCCCTGAATTTTTTATATTTAATTAGTGTCTTTGGCACTTTTAATATACAGATGCTCCTCAATTTATGATGGTTCAACTCACAATATTTCGACTTAACAATGGTGCAAAAGCAATTACAGGTGGGCCCCGTTTTACAGCGCTTCACTTTACAGTGTTTTGCTAGTGCAGAGGCTTTCAATTATATTCGTTCTTCCTTTATTTAGACCTACAATAAATATATTCACCACTCACTATAAGCTAAGCACAAAAATATTTGTGCTTAGCTTATAGCTTGTGTGTACTGTATATGAATCTTTATGGCCTAGCTCTACTGATCACTTAATATATGATAGTGTAAACATGTTATCAGGCTTTTATATGCATTTGAAAGTGAAAAGAGGCTATGTTTTACTTTACAGTGATTTTGGCTTTACAGCAGTAGCCCAGAACCTAACCTGCTGTATAAGTGAGGTCCTCCTGTACGCTGCCGATGAAACTTAAGATTACCCAGCATGAAGGCAGCAAGTTCGTAACTTGTATACAATTTTTTACTTTTCAATGCTGGTATTTAAAGTAACTGCTTGTTTATTTAATCAGTGATGACATTTATTTGCTTATTTATTTAGCATATCCACATTCAACTTATGATGGGTTGGTCAGAACATAACCACATTGTAAGTCAAGGAGCACCTTTACTACTAATGCTGTCTTGAGATCCTTTCGTAAAAAACAATTACGAGTATAAACTATTCTAGTCTATGTACCGAGACACTTTTGTATAAATAATACCCTGTGATCTGAGCCTCTTCTTCACCATCCATGCTATCAAAAACAATGCAGCAACAGTATACATTGCAAACACAGTTCTCTCTTGAGGCATGTGGCACTTGTAGATGGAGTAATTGTTGGAACTCACACTCAGCTATTGGAAATAATTATTGTTGTAGTAAAACATTTTACATATCTTAATGCATCTTATAATATGTCACAGAAATTGCAAGATACTAGTTTTCACTATACAAACTGGAATCACACTGACAAACTTATACTGTAATAGTGTAAATAAAATACTTTTAATGCAAGGTTTACTACTACCACTTATCTTTGATAAAAATTTGATACTATCATAAGCACTGTGAGGGTATAAACTTGTAAAACTGACAAGTGAAGAGCTAAATACAGAGTTGCTGAAAAAATACTTGACTTACCATGGAAAATGTAGGACTCTTTTTATTCCGCCAAGAAAATGAAGCAATGGTGTATTCGTGTACCTCTGAGCCTTTGTTCAAATGTTTGATGTGACAACCATGGTGGGTGTGACCACTAAGAACCAGCCGAGGTGATAACTCTTCAAGTAACTGCAAATAAGAAATAATACTGATGACTGTTGCACCAACTTTAATTTACATTTTACTCTTGCACTCTCCCCTACATCCACTAACCCCCCCCCTCGCACATCCCTGCCCCCTCACTTGTACTCCCACCCTCGCATATTCCTGCTCCTCACTCACACTCCTCCCCTCGCATATCCTTGCCCCTCACTCATGCTCCTACCCTCACATATTCCTGCCCCTCACTCATGCTCCTACCCTCACATATCCCTGCCCCTCACTCACACTCCCACCCTCGCATATTCCTGCCCCTCACTCACACTCCTACCCTCGCAGATCCCTGCCTCTCACACTCCTACTCTCGTATATCCCTGCCCCTGTGGAGAAAATTCTCCAGAAAGGGGGTTATCAGCCCTCTCAGCCCCCTGAGGGACTTGAGGGGCTGATAGCCTCTCTTGCTTCCACATAAATAGTTTAATTAGATCCGCATGTGGCTAACAGCATCATAAGTCATGCCACCTCTTCTTGCAGAGTAGTGTTCGTTGCAATACGAGTGACAGTGAAACGAGAAAAATGGCTCTTTCCCTTTGCAGGAAAATTACAGAAAAACCCTGCACCACTTTACTTACAATGTGGGACAATAATGAACTGTTGTTGATAGATAATAAGAAATCAACCATCTTGTATTGAATACTGTGACAGTCTTAAGCATGGAGGGAAATCATGTTGAAGTCAGCATTTTAGGGCCCGGCTAGGGCAAAGTATGTAGAGAAGCTCAGATTGGCTTCAGATGAACGGGAAGCATGTTTCATTCAGGCATTGCCCTGAGCAAAGGAACAATAGTGTTCAGTGTGTTTGACTCTGGTACAATCTCAGAAACTTGGGGTAGAACTATTATACAGTGAACTGTCATTTTCCTGTTGTGAAATACTATGAAGCAAAAGACAAATCTTGATTTTAGTGTAGTTTAACAGTGCGTGTTGCAGAACATTCCCTACTGAGTGGAGGACAGTGCAACAGTTTGAGAGACACTACTGCTCCAATCAAGACACCCATATCTGTCATAAATGGTGCTGTCAGCACCATAGCTCATGTTACAAGAGCAAGGCAAATCTCAAATCCTCTCGTAGAACCAGAAAAACTGCAGTTTTGGGTAGATACAAGGTGTTTGAGGCTGTCCTACACATGGCAGTAATGGGTGGGCCATTGAGCCTGACCAAGCGAGTACAAATCTAGTCAGCATTAAGTTACCAGTGTCAGAAATGCTGAAACATACACTCCTTCGGGGCAACTACTTAATCATCCCTCATACCTCAACAGCTATGGGCTGGGGTTACCTGATTCATATTGAAGGGGCCACTCCAGATGCAGCTGCAGGGAGGCCGAATCAGCACTGAAGCTAAGTATTTTTCATTCATGTCTTTAAATAGACTTAGCTTAATAATATTCCCCAGAGCCCCTCACTCTCACCCCTACTCTTCATACATTCCTACTTCTGCACATCACTCACATGTGATGCTGCATGACCCACTTGTATTTAGTACTGAACTTGATTATAATAATAATGATATTAAAAGCTGTGTAACTCAGTAATTTTACTAATATTCCAATGATAAATGATCTATGATAAAAGGTTGTGAACTGCATTCATGGATTCAGAAAAAGGCATGTGAGAGGGGAGGAAAAGGAAGCAATATGGCATATTTTGCAGAATGTACGGAATAAGTGGAAAGCTCTTAAAGATAAAGGTTTATTTCTTTGTAAAGGTTACAATGTGTAATTACAATTTTGGCTTGCTAAGTACAAAGAAAGCCACTACCATGCCAGGGCATTTCGGGCAGACTAATCCTAGTACACATAGTAACTACTTAAAACTATACAAGATAATAGTGGTTTACTTTATTACAATCTTATTGTTAAAAGCAGGTGGGGATATAGTTTTGGAGTGGTTGGTGCAATTATTTAATAAATGTATGGAAGAGGGTAAGGTACCTAGGGATTGGCAGAGAGCATGCATAGTTCCTTTGTATAAAGGCAAAGGGGATAAAAGAGAGTGCAAAAATTTTAGGGGAACAAGCCTGTTGAGTACACCTGGTAAAGTGTATGGTAGAGTTATTATTGAAAGAATTAAGAGTAAGACGGAGAGTAGGATAGCAGATGAACAATGAGGCTTTAGGAAAGGTAAGGGGTGTGTAGACCAAGTGTTTACAGTGAAACATATAGGTGAACAATATTTAGATAAGGCTAAAGAGGTTTTTGTGGCATTTATGGATTTGGAAAATGCATGTAACAGGGTGGATAGGGGGGCAATGTGGCAGATGTTGCAGGTGTATGGTATAGAAGGCAGGTTACTGAAAGCAGTGAAGAGTTTTTACGAGGATAGTGGGGCTCAGGTTAGAGTATGTAGGAGAGAGGGAGATTATTTCCCAGTAAAAGTAGGCCTTAGACAGGGATGTGTGATGTCACCATGGTTGTTCAATATATTTATAGATGGGGTTGTAAAAGAAGTGAATGCCAGGGTTTTGGCAAGAGGTGTGGAGTTAAAAGATAAAGAATCAAACACAAAGTGGGAGTTGTCACAGTTGCTCTTTGCTGATGACACTGCTTTTGAGAGATTCTGAAGAGAAGTTGCAGAGGTTGGTGGATGAATTTGGTAGGGTATGTAAAAGAAGGAAATTAAAAGTGAATATAGGAAAGAGAAAGGTGATGAGGATAACAAAGAGATTAAGTGATGAAAGATTGGATATCAGATTGGAGGGAGAGAATATGGAGGAGGTGAATGTATTCAGATATTTAGGAGTGGACATGTCAGAAGATGGGTCTATGAAGGATGAGGTAAATCATAGAATTGATGAGGGGAAAAGGGTAAGTGGTGCACTTAGGAGTCTCCTTGGAAGCAAAGAGGGGAATGTATCAGAGTATAGTTATGCCAACACTCTTATATGGGTGTGAAGCATGGGTGATGAATGCTGCAATGAGGAGAAGGCTGGAGGCAGTGGAGATGTCATGTCTGAGGGCAATGTGTGGTGTGAATATAATGTAGAGAATTTGTAGTTTGGAAATTAGGAGGAGGTGTGGGATTACCAAAACTATAATCCAGAGGGCTGAGGAGGGGTTGTTGAGGTGGTTTGGACATGTAGAGAGAATGGAACAAAACAGAATGACTTCAAGAGTGTATAAATCTGTAGTGGAGGGAAGGCGGGGTAGGGGTCGGCCTAGGAAAGGTTGGAGGGAGGGGGTAAAGGAGGTTTTGTGTGCGAGGGGCTTGGATTTCCAGCAAGCGTGCATGAGCATATTTGATAGGAGTGAATGGAGACAAATGTTTTTAACACTTGACGTGCTGGAGTGTGAGCACAGTAACATTTATGAAGGGATTCAGGGAAACTGGCAGGCCGGACTTGAGTTCTGGAAATGTGAAGTACAGTGTCTGCACTCTGAAGGAGGGGTGTTAATGTTGCAGTTTTATAACTGTAGTGTAAAGCACCCCTTTGGCAAGGCAGTGATGGAGTGAATAATGATGAAAGTTTTTCTTTTTCGTGCCACCCTGCCTTGGTGGGAATCAGCCGATGCGTTAATAAAATAAAAATAAAATACTAATGCGAGGTAGTCAGGGTGGAGATTTATAAGAATAATAATCTTGAAATTGCACATAATTAAAACAATATTAAATTAATGGTTCAAGCAGTAATATTTCATGGACTGGCAGAAGTTTAAAACTCTAGAGGTCACATAATAAAACTAATTAGCAGTTGATTTGGTTAGTATTGAGAGATAAGATGATTTTTTATCAAAGTCCTAAATTTATAATAATAATAATACAGTTTCGTACTGCTCCCAACTTGAACAATTATGTAAGTGTATTATTGTAAGTGCTTTTGTAAGTGTATTTTTGGGGGTCTGAAATGGATTAATCTAATTTACATTATTCCTTATTGGAACAAATTTGTTTGGTAACGGCACTCGAACAGCCTTCTGGAACGAATTATGTACGAAACTCTGGGTACCACTGTAATAATAATAATAATAAATTTTATTTGGACATGATACACAGTTGTACAGAAGAATATAATAGTTTGGTGTATAAGCCAAAAGCCCCTTTGTATGCAAAGCATTTCGGGCAAACTTAATATTAACTTAAGATTAGGAAGGCAATAACAGGTTATTATTTGGATGTTAATAAGTTACAGTGAGTACATTAATTACAGTTTTAAATTTAGCTTATAAAACTTATATGATTACAAATAGTGGTAGTGAGTAGCGAGTTCCAGATCTTCGGGCCCTTTATGTGCATAGCGTTTTTGCAGTAAAGACTATTCTGATAGCATGGCTCAGGGTAGGATATGTAGGAGAGGGGAGATTATATTTTGGTAAAAGTAGGCCTTACAGATGAATGATGTCACCATAGTTGTTTAACAATTTTATATGAGTTTGTAAGAGAAGTGAATCTAATACTAAGTGAAAGTTGTCACAGTTACTTTTGCTGATGACACTGTGCTTTTGGGTGATTCTGAAGAGAAGTTACCCTTGTCAGTTTAGCACTTTATTTGATTATAATAACGAAGAGAAGTTGCAGAGGTTGGTGGAAGTGTCTGGTAGGGTATGTAAAAGAAGGAAATCAAAAGTGAACATCAGAAAGAGTAAAGTGAAGAGGGTAACAAAATTAGGTAATGAAAAGATTGGATATCAGATTGGAAAGAGGGGGGTATGGAGGAAGTGAATGTGTTCTGATATTTGGGGGTGGGTTTGTCAGCAGATGAGTCTATGAGAGATGAGGTAAATCATAGAATAGACAAGGGAAAAAAGGAGAGCAGTGCATTGAGGCATCTGTGGAAACAATCCATACCCCAGGCCGGGATTGAACCCGCGGTCATAGTCTCAAAACTCCAGCCCGTCGCGTTAGCCACTAGACCAGCTAGCCACAATAAGATTCATCCAACTAGGTATATTTCTACACCATAGGAAAGTTAGCACAGGCACCTCTGTGACCACAAATGCAAGTTTTTACAGACGAATCTCCAGCTAGCGTG